AGGAAATGGAAACAGCAGAGATGCCCATTGAGTGGTGAACTGTTACTCAATTTGGTAAGTTACACAATGCAATTATTAATGTGGCAGAAAAAATGTAAAATTTTAAGTAAATGAATAGAGCTAGAAATGATTATGCTGAATGAGGTCCCCAGGTATAGCAGGAGGCTGCTTGTTCATTTCCCAGCCACTCAGACTCCCGAAATAACCACACAGAAACTGTATTATTAAATCACTGCTTGGCCCATTAGCTCTAGCTTCTTATTACCTAACTCTTACAGCTTAATTTAACCCATTTCTATTAAACTTTGTATCGCCACGAGGCTGTGGCTTACAGGGTAAAGTTCTGGCATCTGTCTCCAGTGGGGCTACATGGCTTCTCCTGACTTTGCCTTCTTTCTCCCAGCATTCAGTTCTGCTCCGCCCTATCAGGCCAAGCCAGTTTCTTTACTCATTAACCAATAAAAGCAACACATATACAGAAGGATCTCCCACACCAACCAGGCTCCAGAAAGACAGAGATTACATGTTTTCTCATATGTGAATGTTAGCTTTCTTTTAAGTTTTAATGAGAACATTTCATATGGAATACCCACACAGTTTAGGTAACTAGAAAAAGGCCCACAAGGGAAGAGGGGTTCATTCAAAGAAGGGGAAATAAAATAGTGTTTTAAATGGAGAAAGGCAAAAAAAAAATAGTGGAAAGGATTAAATTCCCTCCTTTACCCTGTTCTCCCACTCCCTTCTCCATTTGATCCTGATTGTCTATTAATGTATGGTCCCACAAAGAAAAGGGTGGTGGTGGTGGGAACATACAGCTTTGCCAACTCATCTTACAGTCACGAATTCATAACTGTACTGTTTTTCCCGGTTCACTTACTGTTCTTGACATTTCTATCACATATTCTCAATACTCAGAAATCCTACCAAATTGTTTCCCCCATAAAACAACAATCACTGTGAAATCAAGTTTCCGAAAATGCCTACTATACATCTGTGTTCATTTACTATTTCAAGCTACTTTGAATTAAATATCCAGGATCTCAGCAGATGCTAATACTCCATGCATGCCCTACGGCTCATGATGTTCTCTTCTACCTAAATACAGGATTCATTTTAGTTCATCCTTGGGTCTAAATCGTCAACATCTTCTGTCTGCTTCATCCTTACCCCAAAGTAAATGTAGTTCTATTTCCTATTTCAAAAATAAAATGATTAAAATAATTATGTTTGCACTCAAGCCTGTGTTAACTACTACTTGTTTTCTTTTATTTTGCAGTAATCCTCTATTCTATTAAACTCAACCCAATCAGTCTTTATTACTTATTACCTTATCAAACCTTCCTAAGTCCGGGGAAAATGCTCTTGTCATTACCATGGTTTAAAAATAATGCATCTCATGAAGATGTAAAACCCTTAATAGTGTCATATCTCACTTGTCTTCCAAGTTAAAAATTTTAGACTTATTTTTAATTTTTTATTATGGGTGCTTTGCTTACATGTATGTATGTTTACTGTGTGAATGCCTGGTACCTGCAGTGGTCGGAATGTCTAGATCCCATAGAACTGGAGTTATGGATGGCTGCAAGCTGCTGGGTGGGTACTGGGAACTGAACCTGGGTCCTACACAAACCAAGGGCTCTTAACTGCTGAGCCTATCTTAGATTTTTTTGTTGTCAGCTATATTTATGTGCAGTGCTTAACTTGACTGTGTAAATGAAAATAAAAAAGACTCCTTTAACATCTGGAAAACAGACAGTAGGACTCAGTATGACACAGTACTACTCACTAATCACAGATTTAGAAGGGCTATTTTAGAGACGTTTCAATACTTCCCTGAGAGTTACTGTGTACTACCTTGACAGATACTTTACTAACTATAAGTGTTGTGTTTTGAAGTTCTGGAGGTGGAATCCACAGCCTTCTGCATCCTGGAAAGCACCCAACCACTGAGCAATTATGCTTCTATGTACTAAAAATAAACATTTGAAAACAGATGGCCAAAGATTTACATACTAATAAAGTTCTCTCAAGACAATTTATATCATAAATTTTATTTATATTTAAATTCTGAAAAATATATGAATTGGCTCTTCACAAATAAGAGACAAAGTCTGTCCCAAGAGCTCATACTTAGTTACACAGTTGAGGCAGGGCAGTATTCTTTAAGGCTATTATTCTTAAAATAAGTAGAGACACAAATCACAGGGTAGCCACACAAATAATACTTCATGTTTCCTTCCATGAAACTAATCTAAGTCATCTTCTTAAGACATTTCGTATTTTTAATTTTGAATTGTCTTTTAACCAAAAGACAATTTTTTTAAATTTGTTAATTACATTGTTCTGGTGGAGGGCAGGAGGCAACTTGTGAAAGTCAGCGCTGTTCTGCTATGGGGTAAGGTCATGGAAATCTAACTCAGGCTTTCAGGTTTGACCTCAAGCACCTTTCTGTTGAGACATCTTGCCCAGTCTCATTACTTTTTACTTACTTGTTTTTTTTTTTATCTTTGTTTCTGAGATAGGGTTTCACCATGTAGTAGTAGTTTGTCTGAAACTGCATCAATGGCCTGATTCTTGTTTCTTGGGTGCTGGGATCACAGGATTGAACAACCTTGTCCAATTCTGTTTCTATTTTTATAAAAGAGAAATGAAAACCACCTTGTTCCAGATGAAGTCACTGTCTGCAAAATGTGACTATCATAATTTAGATATTACCTGAACTTCCAGTAAGTCATCCATCACCAACGATGCAAATAATGTCTATCTGCAATGCAAACGCTTTTACATGAAGGCAAGCTGCAGTCTCTTGGAACTAAGAGCATCACTCAGGAAGAGATGGCAGCTGGAACCTTCTGCATGCACTCTGCCTCCACAGAAGCACACAGAACACAAAGCATGCGTTAGGGTCATCTACTTCCCTCACTCATTCAGTGGGAGTCAAATGTGCAATGTGTCTAATTAACTTGCTCAATTTACCATCCACCAATTACAATGTCCTTTAACAGCATCATCATCGGAAAGCTATTGCTGGCATGCACAGTACAAAACCTGACTTGGGGGGAAGCGTATTTTAAATGCCTAACTGTCCCCAGATTGATAACTGTATTGCACCTGTTGCCTCACACGCTGATGAAAATAAATTTAGGCATGGCTCATTTGGGTAGAAAGTTTTTTAAAAAGTAGTTTTATTTATAAAATGTGTGGTTATTTAAGCAAAGAATACAAAATAACCTATAGGATTTTTTTAAAAAAACTGAAATTGGTAAATTAATAACATATTTGAGTATTGGCTTTCAAACAGTAAATGGACAGATATAAGAAAAAAAGACCCTCACATGTCAAATCTATGGGCACAGAGACTTCTGTTCAAATAAAACACAGTATGAATCATTTCAATTTAGAAATCTATTGTTCTTAATGCTTTCAAGTTCAGTACAAATCAAATCTATCACCAAGAAACGCCAAGAAATAATAGCAGAATGCTTATCAGCATGAGGGAGACAATCTGTCTTCTAAATGAGCAATGTGAGCCCAAATTTCCAATGGAAAGTTAGAAATTGATATCGGTCCAAAAAGCACCTCCTAGAAAGACAATTATGTCTGAGGACAATGTCCTGGTAGATGTGCTTTGTTCCGCCACAGGGAAAATAAGCAACTTGCCGCTGCCTGTGTTTTTCCCTATGTACAGCTGTAAAAAATGAAGAAAATAGGCTTTTGCCCATCTCTATGGACTCTTTCTGGTACTCAGGCCTTTCCTTCTTTCCTTCCTTCCTTCCTTCCTTCCTTCCTTCCTTCCTTCCTTCCTTCCTTCCTTCCTCCCTCCCTCCCTCCCTCCCTCCTTCCCTCCCTTCCTCCCTTCCTCCCTTCCTCCCTCCCTTCTTTCCTTCCTTAATAAAATTGTCTCTTCTTCCCAAGATCACCAGAAAAACTATTACTACACAGTAGAGATGATGTAGGTTGGGGCATTTCACTGTATGCCCGTTAATCACTGAGCATGTCAGGGGCTCCTCACCCCTCCACTACTTTCATATAATCCCCAGGCCTTTCAGACTGCTCATCCTCTTACTTTCATGCCCCACCCTGCAGCTTCCACACAGGAGACAGAACATGTGATGCTTTCTTTTATGGGACTGGCTTTTATCAGTTAACATGTTCTCCAATCCTAGTTTCCTACAAATGCTTCATTTCGTTCTTCTCTATGACTGAGTAAAACTCTGTTGTGTACCTTCACTGTCTACCTCGACTGATTCCAAACCTGGCTATTGTGAATAGAGATGTATAGCGATCTCCATGGTAATCTGACATACATTTATTCATTTTATCACATAAATTGTGTGGCTAGGTCAACTTAGGACAACTTTTGGGTTTTTGAAGAACCTCCATACTGATTTCCATCTAGATCAGTCTATGATTTCAAATTACCACTAACAATTTCTAAGTGTCTGCCCCCAAGCCTGACCGGAATTCCTTTTCTTGATGATAGCCATTTTAGTGAGATAATGTTGTTTCAACGGGCATTTTCCTTATGGATATATAGGTAGTGAGCCTTTCTTCATGTACCATTTTTAATGGGTGCTTCACCATCTGAAGTGTCTGCTCACTTCCTGCCCAGTTGCTGACTGGAGTCTTTTTGTTCTTTTACTATTTTGTAGTTTATTTATTTCGGCATATATTCTAGATATTCGCCCTTCTCAGGTGAGTCATGACAACTCTTTTCCCCGATTTGTACCCTGCCTTCCTTTTCTTCTACTTTACAAGTGTGTAGTACAATTGTCTCTGCTTGCTTTCATTCCCTGAGTTCCTAGGATCTTATTCAGAAGCCACTGCCTCTTTCAAATCAAGTGTTTTCCCCGTTTTCCTCTAGCAGTTTTGGATTTTTAGGTTTTACATTAAGGTCTTTGATCCTTTTTTAAGTCAAACACAAACTAAAAGCTAGGACTGCTCCTACAAATTTAAAGAACGAAAACCTTGCAAAAATGAACTAACTTCATTTCACAAACTGAGCCGAGAGCAACATGAATATATTGTGTTCCAAACCTCGATACTGACTGACAATGCCTGGACACACAAAGCACATGCTGCCGATGTAGACAGGATGCAATCACACCGCCATGTCTCCCTTAAAAATGAATACAACATAAAGTTAGGGCAGCCCTCGTCATTTATGTGCTCTGCACCCTCAGACTGCGCATGTCTCTCAGCAGCACTGGTCGGTAGTTTTGCTCCAGAGTCTCCATGTATTCAAAGTAGTTGCTCACTCGAAACCCACGGAGTGCTTCTTCCTGCCAGGAAAATAGGAAGGGAAGTTCATTTGCTTAGAGAAAGATACACAGTTCCAAGTGAATAATGTTTAAGTAGCTGGAGTTTCATTTGTTTTCAGCTGTAGATGCTGGGGCAGTTTACATAGCTAGTAAGTGTATAATTGCTTTTCATTTGGGGAGCCGTGTCTGTACCTGTCAGGAATGAATCATGGCCTTGTGGGGCAAGGTTATTTTAAAAAACAAAAGTGCTTTCCCACTAACAGCAGCAGCAGCAATAGCAGCAGCTCTTCCTAACAAATTACGTCCATTTCAATAGTTAACTACGTAACTAGTAATGGCTCTCAACTCTCTCTGTGATGCTGTGATGTACACGGAATCTGTGCTGCAGCCACTGCTCATAAAACCCCCCATCAGCCTGTGGTTCACAACGCTGGCACTGTGCATGTGAGCAGGCACTTTTGCTCTAATGGTTAGTGTCCCGATCGAGCACTCAAGAATAAGCAGCATGAACATCTATTTATTATTTTAAGTCTCTGGGGACGTTTGACTATGCCTTTCAACACTCTCAAATATTATCTAACAGAGTGTCTATCTGAAAGATTTTTTAAAAATCTTCAAAATAGCTAGTCTCAATTCAACATAACTATGTTAGCTTTTGAGGATATAAAAATTTTGGACAATTCGTGCCCTCACAAGTTTATAATTTAAAGATGAAAAATAAATAACATAAACACAATAGCAGTCCCAAAGAATGAAAGGCAATGTTTGTTAGCAAGTGATAGAAGAGACGCATCAATGTGAGGTAGCTAAAAATACATACAATTTTTCACATAAAGGATGATTTTTAAAGCTTCATATGTACTCATATTTTATATATATATATAACCTCATATATATTCACTTATGAGTAATAGTTCACAGCATGCATGTAGTTATGTATAACTTTATTAGTAGTGAGCCACATGGCCCTCAAAATCTACACCATTTGTAAAAAAGATATAGACAATCTAAAACATCATTACTGCTCAGCAGGGTTGACAGATGCTGAAGAAACTAAATGGTGTTTACTGAGGAATCCACCCTTAACCCATGCAACTCAAGCGTGTGAATTCCACTTTTCACTGTAAGGTGAAGGACTGTCTCATCCATTCTCTCACTGTTCACTCGAACATTCTACTAGCATGTGTAAGCTCTTGGCTGTGCACACCAAACACCAGAGTGACTGAAGTAAGAACTGTATCCTAGACGTTAAAAGCCAACGCAAACCATGTACTCCCATTGATAAATGTGCAACTATCTTAGGGTTACTGTCGCTGCAATAAAATACCACACCCAAAGCAACTTGGGAAAGAAAGGGTTTATTTGGATTATAGTTCAGGATTGCTGTTCATCACTGAAGGAAGTCAGGACAGGAACTCAAACAGGGCAGAAACCCAGAGGCAGGAGCTGATGCATAGGCCATGGAGGGGTGCTGCCTACTGACTTGTTTGCTCACAGGGCTTATTCAGCCTGCTTTCTTATAGAACCCAGAACCACCAGCCCAGGGATGGCACCACCCACAGTGGGGCTGGGTCCTTCCTCATTGGTCACTAATTAAGAAAATGCCTTGCATCTGGATCTTATGGAGGCATTTTCTCAATTGAGGCTCCTTCCACCCATGACTCTGGCTTGGGCTAAGTTGACACAAATTATTCAGCATACAACTGAACCAAACAGAAAAGGTTCCAGGGGGCTTGGTCACACACACTTGTAATCCTTGTCCTTGACAGACTGTCCCAAGAGGATAGTAGATTCAGTGTCACCTGGGCAACATGGTGAAGCCCCGACTCAACAAAGAAAACAAAACAAACAGATGTTCACTTGATTAATGGCAGAATATTGGGTCTATGTAAATTTCTGTCTATCAAAAGTACTTGTTCACCAGGGGGAAAAGGATAAAAATAAGATCAACCTTACTGTACCAGAATTCATCTTAAAAAGCTATTGTTGTAATGATAGAACTCTTACAAACTTAAGCATTTTCTTTAAAGTATATGTGAGTGACTTGGCTTTGATCATTTCTACTCTAAAAGTAACCTTAAGTTGGAAGGCAATTATAGCAACAGCTTCCCTAACAGAGAAATTTCAATGCTGTGAGAACTGTTACAGGATGCATTCATGATTTTCAAATAAAAGCTTATTATTCATCAAATGCAATTTAACAATGAGAAATAGCAGTGCTTGAACAATGGCTCTAATAATACTTTCCTGGCAAAAAATAAGGAAAAACTACTTAACATCTTTTAATTATTCTACTTTCATTTAAACATAAAGCTACATTGGGAAGCCACAGTTAATTACTTGGCTTAAATGTATTTCTATTTTAATTTTTTTTCCAAAATCTGGTTCCTGTTTTAGATATAAATTTTAAGGTTAAAAGAATATATTTTAGTAACTATGCTGAAGAGATATCATAATATTAGCATAAAAGGTTACTGAAACGACACATTATAAAGGAAAAATTTAAATATACATTTTAAATGCAATTGTGTAAATTGTATTGTTCATTGTTTTAAAAAAAATTGGCAGGCAATTTTATTTCTGAATAAAAATGTAAAGCACCCAAGTTTCACTTTTAATATTTAAAGTAGAATATCTTTCATCTCTTCCTAGAGATTCTCTAGCCCTCTTCTCAGGATAATCTTACTTGCTATTATGGCCATTTAGATTATTAGGCTATCATTCGAGTTGTGACTGACCATTTCCGCAAAGCATGGTTTCACTACAGTTTCTTTTGCAGAGCTAAGTATATTGGAACCACCCTGTTCTAAGAATCGGGAAGCATGTTATAAAGTGTTTTTTTAAAAAAAAAAAAACAGATTTTTTTAAAAAAAAGTTTTAATGTTTTTGTAACAATAGTGAAACAGTTGCTCAAGTAAACACTTTAATAGGTTGTACTGCAATAATTTAAATTTGGTTTACAAAGTTCACTGAGAGAATGCTTTTTTATCAGTTTGCTTTCAATGATTGCTTTCATCAACTCTGGATTTTAGACGTTGAATTACCAAACAGTATTAGAAGTTAACATTCCTAACCACAGCGCTGTGTGTGCTATCACATGATATAATATAAACACAGCTTCTTTCTTTCCTTCAGACATAAAAGTTCAATTCTATCTTCTATTTTTTTTTAGAACATTTGATCAGGATCCAGTAAATGTAGAATACTGTTTGAAATATAACTATACTAGTTAACCAGGAACAATTTGAGTTAATAGGATTTAGGTTCAGCCAAGAAAGATTCAAAACCTCTCCACATTAATTCTCAGATTACAAACTTATGTAAGCTTACTGACTATAAATCTTGATTTTTCACGTGCCAATGTTCATGTGCCAATGGGGAGCACAGGGATGCTGAATATCAGATATTTACATTATTATTTATAACAGTAGAAAAACTGCATTTCTGAAGTATCAACAAAAATAATTTTAAGGATGGGGGTCACCACAACATAAGGAATTATATTAAAGGTCACAGCATTAGGAAGGTTGAGAACTACTGCTCTATGGGGATTCTTGCCTCTGCGCTTTGCAGCTGCCCCTCTAAGCTTTTATGAAGGTTTTCCCCCCAGGATTCTTCATAAGGTTTTTCTTCTAAGGCATTCATAGCCCTTCATATCCTTTGGTGTGGTCCAAACAATGCCTCTGACTCCCTCACCGTGCCACAGTGTCTTTCAGTAAGAAGAATTATGTCGGAAGTACTATCTACACTGTTTCTCATAGCAGAATTTAAGAATCATGTGGGACACAGACATTCTATCATGCGACTACAGCAGTGCTTGGGATACAGCTGTTACAGAGAAAGTACTGGAATAAGTCAAAGAATGAATAGCCAATACCTCTAAAGTCCTTTGCCCATGGTCTCACATTCAGTAAGGGCTTAGAGCATTAATGGTGGTCATAAGAGTGTCAACCGACAGTCTTTAAAATAGTTGAGATACGCTCTCCTGAGCACACATCACACACAGCAAAATGTGAGGGCAATACATCAAGGATTATTGACTTCAGCTTTTGCTCCTCAAGTCCTTGGCAAAAATATAAGAACCTCCCATCACAGATAATCAGATATCACTGTCTTTTCTTTCAAATCCTCTGGGATATGCCTATGAGGGAAGGGAAGGTAACCTGCGTTTCTAAAAGCTCTTTGTTATCAATTATAATTTTCAAAGATACCAGAGACTTACTTGTCAAAAATATTTTCAGCAACCAAAAATTCCACTAAGCATAATATTTTGATTTAGTGTTAAGTAGACACAAGGTACAGTATGATTTTTATCACTGAATCTATTTGCTCCCAGAATTTGATTATTAATGTGTTTGCAAGGTTATGGTAACTTTTCAAAAATTAATTTATAGAGAAAAAAATCTTGGGTGGGTTAAAGTGGAAGAATGGTGATGTACTAAAACTGTAAAATTTAGCCAAGATTACTTAAATGATTTGCATTAATGCCAGACTCCATAAAAAGCATTTAAGAGGAGTGTTTTGTTCAGTTTTAATAGTTATTATTAAAATATACAAACACATGGGGCTAGAGAGATGGATCAGTGGGTAAAGATACTTGCCACACAAATCTGATGACCCAAGTTCAACTTCTGGAACCCAGGTAAAAGCTGCGTGTGGTGGCAAACCTGCAATCCAGTACCCCTACAGCTACAAGGGAGAAAGAGGCAAGAGAATCTGCAGAAAACCCATGCCTGTGTTATGTATATTTTTTACGGGTCTGAGAAGAAGTTCAAATATATGATCCAAATAGCCAGGCAGCTGAGGTGAGTATTTCTGGAGAGAACTCGTTACTCAAGGCTTAGGAGAAGACATGTGCTTCCTGCATATATGAACATGAAAGATACATGTGATGATAACAGAGATGACAGTTCTGGATGGGTAAATGAGGGAACGGCCCTGACTGCATGCAGCTTTACAGTGTTTCTGACAAAGATGGGACAGTCATATACACAGCAGGCCTTAATGTGATGTCATATGCC